GGGATTTTGTCGTCGACGCCTTCGCCTTTCAATTGTTGCCACGCACTTGAGCCTGCCTCTCGCACATACCTCGCACATGCCTCGCCTCCTGCGCATACCTCAGCCATATCCGCTGCATCCTTGATCTTTGCAGCTGCATCCCGCCCACGGCAGTGACAGCACTGGGCACAAATATAATTACACCCAACAAGTCAAATTAGAGCACAGTTTGCATACATTGAGCTGACAACTTGCTCTGGCAATCTGATGTGGCCTCAGTCAATAGAATAGCCATTGATGCTATTGATGATTGATGTCAGCTGGCTGAGGTACAATGGAATCGCAGCCTCAACTGGATGCTTATAAAGTCGGAAGAAAAAGTAGCTCTTTATCAAATGAAAGGTGAATCAGTATTCCCATGGCTGCTACTCACAGCTCGACAGAGTTTAACGACTCAAGAAAAACCTCAAATGTGGTTCAATTCGCTTGGAATCAGCGTGAATTATAGAACGTAGCTTTTTAAATAATTTATATAATTATAATATCTTTATATAATAATATAATATAAATGTTTATTCCCTGAGAAGATCTAGTTGAAATACAGACTGTTTCGCTCTCTCAGAAACAACTCGCGTATGAATCATAGAATCTGTGTTCTTTGCGCCCATTCGTTAACTTTATTTTTTAGGCAGTAAAAAAGTCGATTGATTAATCATAATTCTCTCGAGGTACTCGAGTGACGGCAAATGTGCAGCGTCATGGCAATATTTTGTGGACTTTGCGCCTTGCAGTCGTGAATGCAGTTCGATTTCGATGGCAGTTGCAGTACTCGGAATAAGTAGCCACTCGAAACCGCAAAATGTAATTGCCTGCAGTACAGTGGGCACACGATAAGCGATCCGATACGTTTGTGAATCGGAGTGGGTAAATGCAAGAACTTTGTTTATTATGCGAAGTACATTTAGGAAGAACTCTTTCATATGGTCTCCTATTGTTGAGTTTGTGTTGCTTTGCAGCAGGCTCCACTGTAGCAACAAGTAACAGGTAATTAGCAAACTCATTAACAAGCTGCGAAAACTGTTGCTTGATGTCGCCCATGGTGCAGGCACCGAGCACCATCATCCACACACGAGGGATCCGAGAGCCGGGAGCCGGGAGCCGGGAGCCACCCACCGTCGTCTGGCACGAAACGGAACTCTGCCCCCGGCTGACTTTGAATGCAGTTGAATTGAATCCCCGTAACGAACATTTTTGTAATTTGCCTTTGACATGCAAGCGGCTAAAGCGAGAAAGGGGCAGCCCTCTGACTATACAGAACTTTTGCCATTCGAGGGAACCTTACGTGCAAATTCAAATGCAAAACCTTCCAAGCCCCGCCCGGCGCACTCGGGTTCAATACCCACCAGCGATAAGCGCAGCCGCTTTTCTAAATTATGCAATTCACAAGCCGATGCACAGCTAAGCCCATCCATCCCCCTCGCCCCACCCCCCCCCCCTCCGCCCACCTTCTGTTACCATGGGAGTGCCGCTTATCTGGCCAGTGCACAGTTCATTTGCACCAGCTGCTCCTAATCTTGATCGGCTCAAGCCTCGTTTCGGGCACAGAATGCCGATTGCCTGATAGCCAGACTGCCTCGCACGGCCTTCCGTCTGCGGGCTTGACAAATGCCTAATCACACGGCCAAATTGCAGTTAGTCAGAAAATTTTAAATGACATTTGGTTCAACCAACGCAATACCTTGTTGGTTTCATAGGTTCAATAGAAGCGAGAAGCTAGAGAGAAGTTAGCAGCACAGGGAATCTTTAGTTTCCCATGCAGCAGACGACGACATTTTCACAGGATTCACACCTTAAATCTTGCCATTAACAAACCTTAACTTTAATTGACTTAATAATTAGTAAGATTTATCTTAAGTTAAGTTAAGTTTCAATAAATTAGCTTGATTTTAGTCAAAATAAAAAAAAAACAAAAAATGTTATTCATTTTTAATCAAATTTAAATTATAATTTATTCATATCAAAATGTTTTTCTGCGTGTTTTATCTTTTTAGAGCCAAGACCAGTTTTCAGCCAGACTTAAACTATTATTTAAATTACGCTGTCAAAACTCTGTTTAAAAAAACAACAAATGTTAAAGTGGCTGTCAAAATTTGACACTTCTTTCTTTTATTCATTAGGAACCTGCTTGAAATGGAATGTTGCTGCACAATTTTGACAAGTTTGAATCTAAGTAAAGTTTGTGATTGGTGAATGATACAAATATTGTGATCGCCCTTTTTCGGACCATGACCAGATCCAGTTGCAATTCGCACGTGAATCACACATGTCTGCAATTTTATTACGTCTTATTTGGCGCATATGGCTTATGGAATCACGTAGTGAACCACGCCCACTGCCGCCCCTGGTCGGACAAACACTTGAGAAGGGAAGTTAATTGGCTGTGAAGTGCTTTGCAGATATATTTGATATGCGCTCTGATTTCGCAATTGGCTGGAAATTAATTAAAAAACGACTTGCGTAATTCAATTAACAGGTTTCCATAGCGGGTTGGAGGGGAGGTGAGGTGAGGTGAGGTGAGGGGCGTGGCAGTTGACAGGTAATGACTTCATCGATTGGCATCGTCATAAATCTACGCCGGACACTCGCTCATTATCAGCCTAACAAGAACTTTGTCATCGCTGATAAGCCGTGACTAAAAGCTAAAAGCTAAAATCAAAGTCAAATTCGCTTTGATAAGCGGCAGGTCCAGTAAATCACAAGCGGATCGATTAAATATTAACCGTATTATTGCGGCAAATCGTCTTTGTGACAAAGACAAATTCACAGCAACTGAATACTGAATAACTTATAAATCATTTGGCATTCGAAGCGCGTGAATAATCATTATGAATAAACCACAAATATCACGTATCCGAAACAGATTTCAATTCGAAGGCAACAGGCAATTGTTTCAGATACAAATTTAACGCAATAATTAAATGATATTTGAATTAACATTTAAGTATAAAAAACTGAGCATCTGCTCAATTCCCTGACGAAATCATCGTCGGAAAATTGCATCAGGCAAAAGATTCAGAGATTACGTTTGAAGGAACAAGAAATTTAGATTACGTATTCAAAGATCTTAAAAGTTTATTACTTTAAGCCAATTCATCTTTGTTTTAAGGTGTTTTTCATGGCAAAAAGGATTTTTGAAACTCCGGCCTGAAACTGATTCAATAAATATCCAAGATCTACTCATGAAATTTTTCGAAAAATATTGGTTTTAGTAAATTTATCTTTAAGTTTGCAAGTCCCCATGTTAGAATACGAATTAATAAAATTATTCCTTTGAACAGTTAATCTCTTAATTTTCTTGATTATTTCAATTGTTAATGCATGTGCTATTGTTAAGACTTGCTTGGTGGAATTATACCCCAATAGGTATTCCAAATAAAAGCGCCTATCTGCATTTTGTAAGCGAGTTTCTCGCTAGTTTTGGATGTTGATGGCTCAGATAGGTGATAAGATAATGGCAAAAGTGCCATTAGGTGGGCAAAAAAAACAATACGAAGTTAACGAAAAATATTTACTGTGGCTTTCAGCTTTCGGGCGATAAGAAACTTGGCAACGCACTGGACTGGGGCAAGGAGAAGGAGTCGAGTACACATATTTACACAGCCATTTACTAGCCATAAGGCCGATATGCACACACATATACAGATATACACGCATATACAGATGTATGTACATATGGAGTATGTATTATGGTCTTTTGATAACTTTCGTCTCTGATTAGATTGCACACAAACAACGAAGAGCTGGAACCTATTTGGGGCTGGGCCAACACAAATACGGCAATAGACTTAATTAGGCTAACAAACAACTCGAATTGCCGAATTGGGCCGTAATCTGACCCAAAGTCAAGGGGCTAAATGAGGCACAAGATGCAGGGTGGGGGAGTGGGGGGGGGGGGAGGTAACCAACTGCCTTCTGCTGCGAGGCGTAACAGAAGCAGCGGCTCTTCGAGTGTTTGCTTTCAAGAGGGCGCCGCGCACTTGGACATTGAACTGTCGTAAAAACCCATATGGCATATGGAATATATATATCTGCCATATAATATAGGTTTCGCTGTAAGTGTGACCATATATGGTGTGCCCCCAGCTGGACTTGGCTCCCTGTACTACGTACTGCTGTGACCTTGTTTTTCCACGCTTCAAGTTATTTTTATTCTTGAGGCTCGACTCACGCTTCTCGCTTCTCAATTCTCAATTCTCCCGTGTCTTCTGCGCACTGAAATTAAAAAGCAGCTACGCCCTCGAACCCAGGCAGCAGATGATAAGCAAACTTCGACTGCTCAAGACCCCATACGACTCCATGTGGGGGGTACGACGCCTGCTCTCAAGGGCATCTCGCTCGGCATTTAAAACGAATTAGTGCATAAACAAACATCGACAACACGTAAACAACAAATTAAGCAGCGCGCTGATAAGTAGAAATGACAAACTGATAAGAAAAACATTTGAAACATGAATAATCAAAATAGTTTCTATAATGCAAAATGTGGAGAAGGGAATAAGACGAATTCGTTTGAAGTGCATAACTAAACATTACAATATTTGTAACATATCTTTGCAGCAGAGTTTAAGGCTTAAAGGGAAAACTAAAACATTAACTAAATCAATATTAAATACTTAGTTTTCAAATAGTTAATACAACTAAATGGGGAGGTCGGGAACAACCTTTAGTAAAGGTCTAACAAGGCACAAATATGGTCATAAAAAAAAAGGCTTGTCATTGGGTTTACCATAAAATCTGTTATTTTCGAAATATGGGCAAAATGTTATTTGAAATACGCGTAAGCAATCAATTAGCTATGCCTAATACCCTGCCTAATAGCACATTTTTCAGCTGGGTTCAATGTCTGTGTTATTTTTGAGTTTTAGCTATTTTTTCGATCTGCAATTCAAATGTTGCCACTTGCTGTTTGCCGTTTCGCTGTTTACGCGTATTTCGCGCAAAGTCCAAAGACTTGTGCTCACCTTTTCGAGGCATTCTTGGCCGATGGCTTTGGGATCCAATTCGACGGCCTGTCGGATGCCGTTCGGCAGGTCCACAATGCACCACATGTTAAAGGTTTCTGATTTGATTTCTCGACTCCTTGTTGAATCGAAACAAAAAGCAAACAAAAAGTAAAAGCTGTTTGTCGCTTTTCTTCTTGTTGTTGTTGTTGATTTTGTTTTTGTAATTCTTTCTTTTTTCTCTGCTTTTTCTGCTTCTGCTGCGGCTTTGCTTTTGAGCTTCCGCGTTACGAAAACACGAAAACCAATTCCAAGTCCGTAAACGTACAAGGCGCCAGCTGCGCTGCTAGCGTTGGCGTCGCAGTTGCTGTCGCTGCCCGAGCTACAGGTTGCGTTCAGCCTGGCTTGGCTCTATGTTGGTTTAACTTAGTTTTGCGTGGGATTTCAGCTTCTGTTCTATTGCAGTCACTTCTTTTTATGGTGCGTACTTAATTTGCTTAAATGATTTAACACTTTGGTAATTTGTAGACATTTTAGCGGCACCGCACGCCGACTTTTCACTTTTGTTATAGATATTCGCTTCCCTGTCGATATATGTTTAAGTATATATATTTTAGCTTTGTTTGTTGCTGCTATTTTTGTTAAACACGATTTTGGCAGACGCCGTTGCCGTTGACGTCGATTTCAATGCAGAGCTGACTGCTGATTTCCGTCCGTTCAACGCAAAGTTCCCGATACAATTGAATTCTAGTTGGAGGCGAAGCCAAGGCAAAGAGCATTTAAGAGGCAAGCAGCGCTGTTAACTTAACAGACTGCTGCTACTGTTTGCCCGCTGTTATGCTCAAATGAACTGCCAACAGTCTGGCCACGGCTACGCTTCAATTCGCACCTCGTATCTCCTCTCTTTGCATGCTCTTAGCTCTGTAGTAACTGCTAACAGAGCTCTCGCAATTAACACTGCTGCGCTCTCTCTTCTGTCGTTGCTCTCAGCTGCGGGGGAGTGGCAGCTGTTGACTATGCCGTTCCATTCAATTGCCAGGCACAGCTGTTGCTGTTTTACACAGCTTCTCTTTTGTTATCAGATTTTCCACTCCATTGCATCTGCACCGACAGACTAAGCATGCAGGTAAACTGTTCAACAGTTGAATTAACAATCAGTTGTTGCGTTTCTTTCTCTCCCAAATGAATGCAGGCCACGCATGTGCAACGCAGCTGCCTCTGTTCACAATGCCATTAAGGATTTTTGTTTTACGTATCTTTGTTTGCTTCCGACCTGCACAATGCAGCAAAAGAAACGAACCTCTTCCTTCTCACACAATGAATAACATAGCAAACGAGATACTTGTTTTAAATACTTTGGTCAGAAAATAAAAATACTGCAGTCAAAGAAAAATTTTCATTGTTTAGTATCAGCAGTATTCATTATGAGATGAATACTTGATTTAGCTGTATTTTATTTAAAATTTGAATGTTTGCATTTTGCACTTGTTTTTGTGTCTTGATTGAATGTACTTTGCTAAAGAGCTTAAATTACTATGTTTTTTTTGTATATAAATTTAACCCAAAACTTAACTTAACTTTTTGTATACAAATTCGGAAACTCTGATTAATTTGTAACTTTCCAAAGATACGTATTTCAGATAATCACAGAAAATGTGTTGAAAAAAATTGAAGATATTGGTTGATATTTTTTAAAATAAAGTACAGAATAATATATATAATTCATGCAAAAGGTAAAAACCAATAAATCGGTTATAATATGACGAGTAACAAGGACTAATAGTTGAAAAATAATTGAACTTTTGATCTTATTTATAGGTTAAGCAATTCCTATAGTTCGATTCAAATTTCAAATCTTTTTATTAAAATAATGTTTAAACTCAATAAAATTTGAAAAACAAGCGTTACACGACTCTAGACTGGATCATTAATCATTATTAATAGATAAATACTCTACCTTATTTTAGCTAAATGGATTTCATTCAGCCTTAAGATTCCTATGCAGAGATATACGCATAGTTTTGTTTACTCAGATCAATCGAGTGCACAATTCCCTGACTGGATTGTAATAATGCCTCGGAAATCGGAATGCATAATAAACAGATTTTGTAATCTATTGGAATAATAAGTGCAATTGTGCGTTGGCACACTTTCAGATGTCTATTAAATCAAGACTCCAATTATTATTGATAGCGCTGTCGATTGAGCGAAATTGCATTGGTTCCGCTGAAACTGGCTTTACTTCAATATTTAAATGGCTTCAGTTGATAAGTAGGGCGAGAATATAGAATATATTGATTGGGGGGTTAACACTCAGTTATGTATTTCTCGTTTTAAATGAAACAGCTGTCGTAATCTTTAAGCGTGTTGCAATTGTCGGTTGACACACTTCCAAGCTGTCAATTCTTTTCATATTTCTCTTTTTAAGACCTTCAATTCTTAAAACAATGTTGGACGCGTGTCTGACAGGTGTCTTGCGGTGGGGGGGATTGCATTTAAGTATGGTAAATGTCGCCCTGGCACAGTTTTTACAATCTCGTATTATCGTTGCATTCGCAAGAAATGACCTTGGGTTCCTAGGAGGTGCATTCTACGGCTATTGTCCGTTTTCAAAATCAATCCAAATCAATTATTAACGGTGCCGAAGCCCGAGACAAAGCTTTTGAAAAGCTTTTCTCAAATATCGCTGGTTTGTGCATAAATGAGTGAAAGCTCGGAAACTTTTTTAAGCTTTAAACTTAAACAATATTATTTAGTCAGATTATAGATTCTAGATGTATATAGCTTATTATTAGTTGGGTTAAAGATAGGAAGAAAAATCTGTTTTGTAAATTAAATTCTTGCGAATTCCTTAAAATAAAACCTCTGCACATAATATTTTAGTGAACCTGATAAAATAATAATAATAGTAATATTATTAACAATAATATAACAAAAATAATGATAAGAATAAGATTAAATATCGAATACCCTTGTAGAAAGACCCCTTGTAATGAAAATCCCAATTGAAGATATATTGAAAAAATTTTTCGATAAAAAAACTCTTTTTCTGACAGACCCTTTCTATAAAACCGAATGATATAGTCTGATATGAAAAGCGGGCTTAGTGCAGTTAATTTTAAGATATATCTTATTCTATCTATAAGATATAGTGGGCCGATTTTGATTCGTCTCATATATAAGAAAACTACTGTAACTAAAACGAGTACGTATATCTTTTGCAATCGTTGTATGCATTTTCTTTACGGCTTTGCAAATATCTGACAATATTGAAGCTCGTAAATTCGAAGTTTGATAAAAAAAATCTTGGAAATCTTGGAACCGATTCTTCCTATAAAGTTGCATAGTATCATAGTGCGATCTTGATAAGATTTGCCTCATATATAAACAGCGTAGCTAAACGAGTAAATGGCGATTTTTTTTTTTTTGGGTCAAGATATCTTGATGAACAAAGAACCAACTTTTCGACCGATCGTTCCTATGACAGCTATATGATATAGATATTCGATCCAGCCGAAATTTGTACAACTTGCAACAGAAATTCGAACCTATGCAAAGATTCATGACAATAGCTTTAAGACTGAGAGAATAGTTTACCAAGAAACGAACATTCGTTTGTCCGACTTTTGGAGAGCGAAAAGCCAGTTGGCTGGCGCATCGTTTGAAGAGCGAATAGCCAGGCTAGAAAGTTAGTTTATATTGTATTTGGCTATTTCAACTTGGCTGCTGGTGCTGTGGGATCGGAGACGTCTTCTTCTATGCGTTACACATTCAAAAACAAAATAAACAATAATGTGAAAAATCTAAATTATAATCTGTAAAAGTGTTGACAAAATTGTGCTAATGTATGTGATGGGTGCAAAGAAGGCATCGGACTCTATCAAGTAAATAAAAAGAAATTCTTGATCTAAGTCAACTCTCCCGTCTGCTCACAGGTCTGTCTGTGTGAAAGCATCGATAAGAGCAATAGCTCTTGGTATATATATGCTATATATGTAGGTACATACTCGCTTGATCGTGAATATAATTGGAACAGAGATGGGTATCTGCCTGTCATTGCCAAATAAAGGGAACTCGAATCTATTTTCTGTTGTTATTAAAATGCATCATATTATTGAAAATAATTAAAATAAATACAAATAAAGTTAGACTTAATTTAATATTTATGCGAATGTCTAAAATCCAACTAAAACATGTCATTTTTTTTCAATGGACTACATTCTAGAATGATATATCATATGGAAAGGGGAAATGAATGAAATTGTTATTTGTTTATCATCATATTGACCTCGGGTATTGCCGCTTTTATGATTGAAGAATCTGTTAGAAAAATCATGAACCTTAAGTGCAGGCACATTAACACTTGATTATATGATTTATGTTCTTCTTATCAACATACGTGGGCGAATTATTGAAACGCAAAAACCAATTGCAGACATCGTATCAAGTTCCCGATCTGAATTGCGGATCTCAAGTGCCAGAACTTTGGAACTTTGTCAGTAAACATTTTGTGATTGCCTCTTGATATTCAGGAAATTCCGAAAAATTAATTTCAAATCCATTGGATAAACTTTTGTTAGCAGCTGTTTGTGGCTAGACTTTTGCACCGATTGGATCAGAAGACATTTCGGCTGATGAAATTACTCATGCGAGGCAGACAAACAACAGCTTCGACCCTGTTCAACTCGCGGCTGTGATAAGGAGAGCCGGAGTAAACATTATACATATAGACGTATTTATAACCCCAGACGCGCCATAATAATAACACTCTAAAAATAATTAACTGTTTCCGTATCTCAACCTAGGTTGGCAACAATCCGATCGAGAACTAAGCATAGTGCGACCAGAAACCCCAAAATCTATTCCAGCTGGCAGATTAAATTTACAGGCAATTATTGATATAATTGCATAAATGTTTTGGGGTCTCCTCACCCAACCCAATTAGTTTTGGGAAAAATATGGGAAAAGATGACGTGTCCGTAAACCCAAAACGCCTGTATCCGAGTGTTAATCGGCCGATCAATGTTCATTGTCAAAGGGGGGCCAATGCATTGTTACCTTTATTGATATGGCTATAAATGTTTTTTTTTTTATTGCCAGTTAAAGGGCTGCGTCTTATGATTTCTCAATCTGATATAAGTATTTAGCAGCAGGTCTCCGATGAAAACAACTTTTTTTTTTAATACTGATTGGTACTCATAAAGTCTAGCATGATATGATTCAAAGGTTGCGACGCTTCAGGTGGTACACCTGCTAGCCTATGAGGCATACAAGGCCTTATCATCTGCCTTGTATTTTCGAGAATTCCATCAGGCTCAAGCTACATCGACTATGCCTAGCAGCTGCCTCTACTACAGATAAACTATGTTAAGCGACAAGTTAATAAATTTTAAATATCAATATATTTAGCAGGCATCACGGAATCCAAGTGTGCGGCACTGCATCTCAAACCCAACTTACGAGTTGTCGGGTCATCCAGTCAGGGGGGAGAACAATATCTGGCTTTGTTTCGTATGTGGAAATATTCGTTAATGGAAAATAGCTATCAAATTAATGGGCAGTCCAGTTGATACAAGAATCGACTAGCAAAGAGGGCAAACTCTTCACGGCGTCGCCAGCTGATGAGGATTCGCCCTACTGACCTTCCCAGCAGACCTTCCTGACCTCTACTGACCTTCCCCCATTTATAGTTATAAATTTAAACTGAAATTTAACCTTAAAATTATGATTTAATTTTAAGCTTTCTTTTAAAGACAAAAGACGACTAATCGAAAAAAATTAACATACATTTACTTTGAAACTTTCCTAAATGAACAAATAAAATCAAGCATCAGGGAATTGACATTTACCGGCAAATTACAGGGTATATGAACAGAGATGTCATCGTCACAGCAAAAGATATATAAAAATATAAATAAATGTTTAAATCAATGTTAAATATTGACTAAATTGGGATTAATGCTCAGTCGCAGCCGCAAAAACTATGAAGATGTAGTTTTCGGGGTTCAACTTAGTTTCATGAAAAATTCAAACAAAAAAAAAAGTAAATAAAATGAAGTACGAAAGTTTATTTTTCGGCTCTGATATAGTGATTTATCTGATATAATACCCAAAGCTGTGAATCAACCTAGAATATAACCCCTAAGTCTGTTGTAAATTTCGACCTCTAAACATTTATAGTATTTATAGAGAGATCTTTAGTTATTAAAGACTCGGATTTCTATGGCCTTTGGTTAAGCAAGCTGACAGTTTATCAAGAGAATTTATTGAGAAAGAAGAATATCTAAATAAACATTTGAAAATAGTGAAAAAAATGAAAATATGCAGTAATGTTTTTTAGAAAATTAACGAATCACTCATTCTGGCTTGAGAGCCCGTGTGCCTATTCATGTTGTTATAGTAGAACTTGTTTGAGTGCTTAGTTGAGCTTAAGCTCGCATATATATATATGGAATGAAGTATGGGTGATTCCAGCCCGATGATTAACTTATCAGTGTTCTATAGCAATAGGTAGTACACACAATACTTTGTTTGTTTGTCCTAGGCAGTATTGAAAGTGGGTCTTCAAATATAGACATGGTTATATATATATTTAGTAGTATATGAAGATGTGTGTGCAACAATATAAAGAAATGCGAAAGACCTTAAACGGCCGACGAGTAGATAATTATAATCTGCCTTGATTTATTCAATCTTTACTTTCTGTTCAATTTGAATTGTTTAACAGGATTTTAACTTAGCAGCCGGCATACTTGATACCATACGCTATATCCTTTACGAGTTATTTGACCAGCAGCTCGAGGGCCTCTCCCTCATTCGCAATCGGCATACTTGACGCCCTCCGCTATATCCTTTAGGAGTGTTTTGACCAGCGCCTCGAGAGCCTCTTCCTCAGTCTCATTCAACTCCGGAATGCCCAGATTCTCCTTAATGCCCTTCGGGCCCAGCAGCAATTGTGTGGCAAAGTACTCTGCCTCGGAGACATCCGATGCCACATAGGCACATTCGATGACATTCTCCTCATTGTTCATGGCCCGCAGGAGCGAGTTGACGAAATTCGCAGCAGCATACGCCATGGAAAGGGTGGCGGAGCCAGTGCCGGCCTTGGCCTTGACCACCTCGGTGCCGGCCTCCTGTATGCGGGTCAACATTTTCTTACGCTGCTCGTCATTGACTTTGTATTCGGGCTTGCACTTCGAGAATACGGGCAGAATGGTTAGCCCAGCGTGACCGCCAATGACTGGAAGATTGACTTCCTTCGGACAAACGCCCAACGCTTCGCCAATGAAGGTCTGGGCACGCACCACGTCCAGCGAGGTCACGCCGAACAAGCGGTTCGGATCGAAGGCGTCCTCCTTTTTGAGCACCTCCGCGGCAATGGGGACTACGGTGTTGACCGGATTCGTAATGAAGGCCACCATCGCGGCCGGACAGGCCTTGCTGACAGCTCTTGCCACTTCGACAGCGACACCGCCGTTAGCGCTCAGGAGATCACTGCGATTCATCCCTGGCTTGCGAGGCAGACCGGCGGCCACAATCACAATTCCCGCATGCTCCAGAGCGGCAATGAGCTCTTCCTTTCCCGTATAGGAGCAAACACTGGTCGTTGTGGATATATGCGACAGATCGGCAGCAATGCCCTTTGTGTTGACAAGATCTTGTATCGCCAGCTGCGTAATCTGCGGATTCTGCTTTAGCAGCAAGCTGAGCGGCTGTCCAATGCCGCCGGCAGCTCCCACAATGGCCACCTTGATGCCTCGCGCGAAGCAATAGTTCCAGGCATTTATCCTCGTCTGGGTCCACCGGTAGAGGTGCGTGAACTGAGGAATTTGTTTGATCATTTTAGATGAAAACATAGCAAAATTTATTTTGCTTAAATATCGACTGGTTAAAACTATATCCAAAATATTACTGACCCAATAATTCTATATGATTACAGAGGAAACTGTTTAAAACTCATGGCGTACTTTTTTTAAAAAAAAACTGATTCTCCTGACGGACTGACTGACTGATTGATTGACTGACTGACTGACTGACTGACTGACTCACTGACTGACCGACTGACTGACTGATTGACTAACTGACTGACTGATTGACTAACTGACTGAATGACTGACTGACTGACTGACTGACTGATTGACTGACTGATTGACTGACTAACTGAGTGACTGACTGACTGACTAACTGACTGACTGACTGATTGACTGATTGACTGAGTGACTGACTGACTGACTGATTGACTGACTAATTGAGTGACTGACTGACTGACTAACTGACTGACTGACTGATTGACTGAGTGACTGACTGACTGACTGATTGACT